GACCCCTGCTCTGTTGTCCCACATAGTATATAGATTCTGGATTCGTGGGGCACATGACACTCATATGGTTGTCACCACATAGTTCGCAGCAAAGAGACATATGTTGTACATGTTGCATCTGTTGTGCCTGTTACATTGTCATTCTATTCATCTGGTTTACCAATTTTGCTATCTCAGCTCTCATGGCCGAGAAGTCATCAAGATCAATCAACCCGGCTGCCTTCTGTTTACTTGACTTGCGTGAATCCCCATCTCCTTGCCAGTTATGATCATTAGCAGTGAAGTTATTCAGCAAGAGTTGAATTTTACTATATGGTTTCGCCATGCAACTACCTCCACAAGCTGAATCAAGATTCATCTTTGAGGCCTCATCTAGCCCGTCAACAAAAGTGTGTCCCAATACCTCATCAGTCTGACAATGGTACGGGCAATCTCTGAGTAGCTTCTTGTATCTTTCCCAGGATTGACGAAGTATCTCGCCATCCCGTTGTTCGAACCCAAGAATCTGACTCCTCAATGACGTTGTCTTCTTGGTGGGGGGGAACTTGCTTAAGAATTTCCTTGCTAGATCATCCCAAGTGTGGATTGAGTTCGCGGGCTCTTTCTGTAACCATTCCTTAGCTTCCCCCAGCAGTGAAAAGGGAAAAAGTGTCGGCCTGACATAGTCCTTGGAAACATTCGGATAATTGTAGGCATCCGTAATTTCCAAGAAATTCTGAATGTGCCTCTGCGAATCTTCATGAGATAGACCCACATATTTCCCTGTGGACTGAATCAGCTGTACCATGTACTGTTTGAGTTCAAAATGCCCTGTGATCTCAGGCTTCACAATAGCCTAAGTCATATTAGCAAGATTGGGCATTACGGTTTCTATCACCGCACGCTCTACATTACCTGCCATCTCCATTGGCTGTGGTTGAAGTACGATGTCCAACTCTCTTTCTACTCTAGTTCTAGCTTCGACCTCCCTCCTCACTCTGTGAAGTTTCCGTTCAATTTCAGGATCAAGAGGAAGGAGATTGTTTGCGCTTCTACTCCTCCGCATTCAAGAGAATAGCATGCGTTAACACAAACAAGCTAAACTGAAAGTTAAAACTTGAACAAATAACTAATAAAAGCTTAAGTCAGCAAAGTAGCTAATTTTTAAGCCCCCGGCAACGACGCCAAAAACTTGTTGCTCCCAAATGCACACGCAAGTATACGTGTTCGTACAAGTAATAAAATGATAAGTCGAGTGTCGAACCCACAGAGACTTATATCAACTACTCGCTAACACACCAATATTGTTATTCCGTCAAGCTAAATTCGAGTTCAAGAGTTTAACTATGCTAAACTACAATTCTAAGTAATAACTAAATTATCAAGCAATAGAATGATCGTTATGTATTCAATAGAGACAAGTATTCCAGGGTTGTGATCGATTCACCAATCCTATTATGTTCTAGTTAACTCTTCCTCTCATACAATTCACTCATGGTTGCTAATTAATCGATAATTTCTCTCGTAGCCTTCTCCCGAAGTACTACTCGTCTATTCAAAATAGATTAACGCATATATTCCTATGGAATCAATCTATTAAGAACGCATTAAGATTACGATATTTAATTAAGCACAGTGACTAGGTATATTCCTATCCTAACCATAAATCCGCCCCATCCCCCCTCCCTAAGGGTTAAGATCATGCTCTCTTCAATTCTTCTCTAATCTAAACACGACTTTCTCAAGCATAGCATAGATAGTAAATAGAACCTAAATGCTGGCCAGACAATTAAGCAATTAATCATAGAATTGAAGAAACAACCATATATTAGTGAATTATAATCGAGGTTAAGTCAACGTTAAACAACAATATTCATGGCTAAATCACAAACCACAAAACAATGGATTTTTAGCCACTCATAATACTAGCAAACAATTGCATAAGGTTTGAATAATTCAAAATACTAGAAAAGATGAAGAAATCTGAGATGTTCTTGCTCCCGGATATTTCTTGTGTGTATTTTTCCTCCAAAGTGGCGTCTCTCCCTTCAAAAATAGGCTTAGTCTTTTTTTATACGTGTTGGGTAGGTCTAGGGCCGAATAAACCGTGTCCCGGGCAAAATAGGACAAAATCACGTCATCGTAGCCCTGGACAGCGCCAGGCGCCCACCAGGGCGCTGCCTCAAAATTCCATTCTGCCTCCAGCGCCACAGGTGGCGCCAGGCGCTGCCTGTGGCGCCCAAATGCCCAATTTTTTGATTTTGTTCGTTTTGGCTCTAATTTTGCGCGTTTCGCCCCCAATTGCTCCTGAATCATTGCTATACATGAAAACACTTCAAATTAATATAAATCATAGCATTTAACATCCCAAAGTCACAAAACAAAAGTAATATATAAAGCGATATACATAAAAATATATATATGCTTTAAGCTAAACATCATGAAACTCCAGCATCGCACGCTGAATTCGGTGCTTTTAAAAGTGAAACTCCGGGATTTTCGTTATCGTTTGTCTCTCTTGGATTTTCGACCGTAAGTGCTTTTGTATCGGAGGACAAAAATACAAAAATTTATTGTCAGATCCGAACAGCAGGCACAATAAACAATAAATTGAAAAAGATACTAGAATTCCTTATGCCCGCCAAAAGGATTTGTTCCCCTTTAGGAGATCTGGTATGTTCATTGGCAATGATGTTTGAAATCCAATTTTTTCAATAAGGAAACGAAGGCAGACACTGACCTAAAGCAGGAACTCTTAATTGTTAAATTATAATGTGAATTCAAAAATCAAGAATCATTTTTGGAGTTTATATTAGTAATCATTTCTGAAATTTGCACTAATACAACTTCAAAAATTAGGAGTCATTGCTGGGTTTGAACTTATAATGTTTTGAATTCCATGAATTATTCACTGGATTTAAAAATTCAGCAAATTTTTGAACTCCGGTGTAGTTTACTCGTAAGGAAAACTTGTCAAAGTTTCGAACTCCAATACAAATCGCTGGAGTTATGTTCCGTGTTTTAAAAAACTTACTAGTAGCCGGTCCAAAAAATAACTAATCCGGCAAAATATTTCATTTTAATATCTCACTAGTGAGAATGATTGTTTTTGCTTCAGTGGAGGTGGTTGTACTTGCCTGGCACCCTTATATCTATGAATGAATACCTCATTTGATTTTCAAATAGTTGGTATTGAATGTATAATGTTAAACTTGTATTGGTAAAAAATGAATCCATCACGTGGACAGTATAATGGACGACACCTGGCAATTGACACCTAGTCGGCCTTAGGACAAATAAGCAATGAACCTGAAGGCCACTCGAAGAGAATATTCGAGATCATTTATATCAAGATTAGAGGTGTATATAGACCGGATTGGTTTGATTTTTGTTAAAATCAAACCAAACCAATTATATTGGTTTAGATCGGTCTGGATCGGTTCAGGTTTTTCTGATTTTTTTGTTACATGAATATTATTTCAATCTTACTTTCTTAATTTTTTTTATAAATAAGTATATATTTTTTAAAAATCATAAAAATCGATAAACATATGATCTATTAAAATAATTTTATGGGAGAATTTTATTAATAACACATGATAGTTGCTTTGTTAGTTGTCTTACAATAATTTTTCGTTGATGTATACTTTCAAGGATAAATGAATTTACTAGTTAAACATAAAAATCAATATGATACCTAATTAATGATATGTTCTATTTAATTTTAGATTGTCATAAATACCACTTCAAATTCGAAAAAGGTATAAGATCAATTTAATAAATATTGACATATGAATATGGAAGAACAAGAAGATTGGCGCATTTAAGTAACATTTGATAATAAAGTGATCATATAACTCATTACCTAAGGTTAATAAAAATGGAGTACTTCGTATTCTATCAAATATTACATCCCATTAGAGAATCTCAAATATTTCTAAAATTTTTGTAAAGAAAATCTATATAAAGTCTTAAAAGTATATATAAAACTTATATATTTATATGTCGATTTGGTTCGGATTTTTTTTTACTCAATACCAAATCAAATCAACTAAAGTTAGTCGAATTTTTTAATCGAGTTGGCACGGTTTTCCAGTTCCCGATTGGTACACCCCTAATCAAGATCATTCGCAATGTTTTTTCCCACAAAGATCGATAAGCACCGAGATCATGATAGAGCCATCACAAGATGATCTTTCGGAAAACTTCTAATGTACGGATAAAACAAGAGGATCATCAAATTTCGAGATATTCGGGATTCACTATTACTCCCTTCGGTCCACAATAAGTGAATATTTGAACGTTTTCACACAGATTAAGAAATCCACCTTTTAGCATTAATTAGTAATGGAATTGACCATATTAACCTTTACTATCTCACATAAATACTCCTAACACATATTCCAACACTATTTACTCCAAGGACAATGTAGGAAAAAAATAATTAATTCATTCTTGAAATCTGGAAAAATCACTTATTTTGGACCACAAGAAAAAGACCAAAAAATCACTTATTTTGGACCGGGGAGTTACTCCAGAATTATAGCGGAATAGGCACGCTAGTCAATGCTATATAATCTCATATGAGTTGACTTATTCCCACTATTATTGTAACGAATTAACAACTGAAATTGCCATTGAATAATTCTAGTACTAAAAGAAGATTTTCAATAAGATCTCCTCTTCTGTCTTTACAATCGTTTGTGTTATTTTATTTTACAGCCATCACTGATTTTCTTTTCATAAATTGAGTCAGTCGATTGCTTGTGGCCTTATTGTTACAAACTAAATTGATTTAACTATTAAACAAATTTTGGGTTAAACAAAAATATGTTAAGAAATCCTAAATCTAATTTTAGCGATTGATTAACTTATTTTCGTAATAAAAAAAGGTGACATATTGACATAAAGTAATTGAGAAAACCACGACAAGAAAGAAGGAAAACTAAATTTCACTTTCACTTCCAACAGTAATTAAGCCGAAGGAAAAGAAGAAAGAAGATTGTTAAGAATTTGAAGAATGCAATTCAAAATCATCATCAATATTACCTTGTGCTGATTATTCATTCTATGAACTTTTTCTGCACCAAGACTTTTCATTAGTACAACCAAGAATAGGTTGTGGTCTATAATTGAAGTAAGCAGCAGAAGCAAGGTATAGACAAGATAAACCTACATATATTTTGAACCAGATGAATGAATAAAATGTAAAGAATGCAAGTATTCCAGTAACAGCAGTTACTAGTGTAAAATTGACCAAGCATTTTGCTGTAGAGAGTTCTTCTTCCGTTCCTTCATAAGGGAAATGACCATTTGCAATAAAATTAGAGAGTAACTTATCCTTCAACTGAAATGTCTCCATCAACCATGCAAATGCCTCCTTTTCGGATGCTGGAATCTCCTCGATGGGAATGCGTCTGATATGAATGTGTACTTGAGAAGGATCCACGCCGAAAACATTGTCCAATAGAGTTGGACACTGATTCTTATATGCGATAGTCACATCATAAACTGCAAATTGAGCATGGTAAGGGAGTATAAGACTCTTGAAACATGCTGGAGAGCCAAAAGTAGAAAACATTTGTCACAAGACAAAACCTGCATCCAAGGAGCTCCTTAATATTTCCAAACATGCATAAAAACCTTTTGTCTTTGGAAGCAGTACATTCTTTAGAACAGGTAATCCATTCTTGATAGCAAACTCTTGGCTGCTTTTGCACTTCTGCTCACTGCAAGTAAAGACAAGTAGCAATTTTAGAGAGTAACAGAATAATAATTGTGAAATGTTCAGGTAAAAATGATACATTTCATCATATATATAAGATTCTAAGAATTACTATTCCTTACGTGAAATCAGTTCCCTCGGGGAAAACGGTCAGCCAAAGTGGATCCTGAGGATTGGTAAAAGTCGAGACCATCTGTCTTATAACTGGTTCATCCACTTCTAATTTTCTCTCGAGTGGGATGAATTCCAGCACATGAAATCCCCATCCAAAGACTGGCAATCTCATCAAACTTTTCTTAAGTAGATATTTGATGTGGCCCAAGCATCCCTTCCGCAATGCAAGATCCCACAAGTACATCCAATCAACTTCTGTTCTGTGGTTGGCCATCAGCAGAACACGTTCTTGTGGCGGAACATGTTCTCCAGAAAAGACCACTCTGGTTTCATTTATCTTTTCAAACAAGAACGGCCACAATCCAAGCCAAAGACCAAAGAGGAATGACACTACTTTCCTACTATAATGTGTGCTGAAGAAGCGCAAGAGAAGAGCTGCTACTGGTGCGAAATAAATTAAGCAAATGAATGCGGTTGAAAGAAGAATCGTTAAACATATCACACCCCTGAGGATTCTGAAAGGCGTTAAAGGAAAATGTTTTGCTTTTTCGTCAGAGGCAAGAGCCTGGCTAAGTTTCATCCTATCTTCTGTGCTCAAGGCGATTGTCTAACAGAGCTGATGATATGAGCCAGCTAAAAGTTCTTACATGCAATATCAGTAACTTTACTCTCCCTGGTTATATAGGACATAATTTGGCGGAGCTCCCATAAAAATGGAGGTCTACAACTCCTGAAGCTCATATCTGCAATTAAACAAAATATGAAGCCTAATGAGAACAGATGAGTTGTGCCTTCAAGAGTTCAAGGCTTAAGGAGTCGACAAAACTATGTCACAGCAGATGATGGCCAAATTATCAGAAAGCGACTAAGATATCAAGAACTTAACAGAATAATGTAGACTAATAATTTGTCTCATGGAAAATAGTGATCCTCACATTAGAAAGGAAATTCTAACAATAGGGAATTGGACCTCCCTCAAATAGATGGATCTGGTACTGATATTGGAACCGAGCATAGAGAAATGAGGGATGATGATGAATGCATTTACAAGTTTCAAATAGAGATTCCTCCTCAACTTCCATAAGTTCCTGTGATATTAAGGTGATATTAAGGAAATACTTGCCAGAGTCACATCCACCATAATAAAGAGACACATTTCTGGTAAAGAAGAGAGCCTAGTCTGCATAAAAATATAATTGGAAGCTTTGAAATGAGTACATTTAAATTGGACATCACAAGAAAATGATATATGTATACAGTTAAAACAGGGCCCACCCGATTTCACTAATTGGTCGATATCACGGGGATAGTTCGAGGATCGACCCCGTAGTATATCAGACCGAGATATGAGGATAAGACACCGAGTCCGAGATTCGAAGTACCTGTCGAGGTCGAGACCGATGATGATCGAGACCAAACAGGATAGACATCGAGCAAGACCGAAGATAGCATAAAAATGGAAAGGCGAGATATCCGTGACTGGTCGAGGATCATGGCGGAAATCTCGAAACGGATCAAATCAAGAACGGTTATTTAGCCCGTCATGGGATTTACTTCTATAATTAGAATTGTACCATAAATAAGATTCCTCTACTATATAAAGAGGGTTCAAATCATTTTTGTAACCATCTTACATTCACAAATATCAAAGCAATATATCACATTTTTATCTCTTGCAAGCTCCGTTGTTCAGTTCATATTTTTAATAGTTCGTTCGGTCGGTTCGAGAGCAATTAGCTCAAAGGCCATACTTGTCCATCACATTGGTTTGCTTATTTTTACAGTATTTTCTATCATTAATTCTTACATTTATCAGTTCGTGCCAAGTGAAATCACATATCCTTAAAACCACTAATAAGTTTAATTGTTATCCGATTTTAAGGGTAAACAATGTAGTTGTCAGTAATTTAAAATATGGTGAAATTAACAGATCCTCTACTGGTGCTTAAAAGTTCCATAATTTAATGATATCAAGATATCTACATAATAACTCTTGTCATAAAACAACCAGCTACTGCATAAATTGTTCTTGCAATATAGAGTTTCAGAATTTTACAGTTTCTTTTAATAGGATTGTTGTTGAGAGATTGAAGCATAATAAGTTTTCATCTTGAATTGTCCCCTAGTAGTCATTTGAAAGAGTAAAATCATAGTTGGAATTACTCAAGAACTTTTGCAGTTAATGGGGACATAGATAATACTTAATCCTTTACAAATATTGAAAAGAAGTTATGTTATGTTCTACCCCTCCTATTTCTTCTTGACTTGTTTAGTTTCAAACATGTTTAGAAGTTGAAAGACAATAGTAATATATTGATTAAATGTACTAATAAAACTTTAAAGGAAGCTTCTTACCTGTTGAAGGTAACATGATGCCACATCAAATGAGCTACTTTCCAACTTAATGGCACATGACACTTGACAGGACATAGATCTCATTTTTGCAAGGCTATTATTACAAATTGTTGTATTTGACTTTTAAACAACATAAAATTTGATTAATTTTTTTTTTTCCTTATCAATTTTATTTACCTATTATAGAAACACTCAAACAAAACCAAATGCACCTAGAGAATGACTGTTGGCTCTGATCCTACACGACCCTAGAAACTAAGAAACGAACCCTTTTGCATTATGGTAGTGAGGAGTGACAGAGCCATAAATTTATAAAGAGAGGATTCAAGAAAATATTACTCCCTCCGTTTCAATTTAGATGACACACTTTCCTTAATAGATCGTTTCAAAAAGAATGGCATATTTCGAGTTAAACTATCTCATCTAATTTGAAACGGAAGGAGTATAACACCAAAAGATTCAAGAAAATATTACTCCCTCCGTTTCAATTTAGATGACACACTTTCCTTAATAGTTCGTTTTAAAAAGAATGGCATATTTCGAGTTAAACTATCTAATCTAATTTGAAACGGAAGGAGTATAATACCAAAGTTGGGATGTGAGTAAGTGACCTAAAGCAAATTTTGAATCCCGTTATCACTAAACTAGAATTTTCTTCTATCAAAGAGATTTAACAGTTATAAATAATGAGAATTTTGTTTTTTTTTCCCTTCCTATTTAATTGGTATATTTTCTCAACAAAGAAATTTAATTGGACCCCCTACTTTTATACCTAGCTCTGCCCCTGGCAGCGTCTTCCCTCCATAGCTAGTTTGACATTTAGCAAGTTGTTTTTAATTATTCATTCTCATCCTTAATCATAGGGATTTGGAAAAATCAAATGCTAAAGAATAGGTCCTCGGAGATAGATAGATATACATATTCCGTCCATATTCTTTAATTTGCTAACAATGAATCAAACATGGGACAACATACAATAATTTCCCCCTTTCATAAGCTAAACTAATGAAGTAGATTCTACGGTTACAAAACGAAACCTCAATAAAGAAAATTGAATAGCCATGATCTGCAGATTCATTCAAAAGTAAGCAATGACATATATCTTGTATTCATATAAAAGTGTCTGTGTGTAAGCATAAACATACACACACGAACGGTCTCATATGTACATGCAGAATTGTATAAATTTAGAAAGTAGATCCAACATATATACACAACACATAAATATTAAGTATACAGAGATTTGTTTACCTAGAGGTGAGCGAAACTGGAGAGCATCGAAAATGGATAAATAAAGTGCAAAAAGATAAAACTTGGGAGATTTGCACCTGAAGCAATATACCAAGGAGGGAAGACTCCTTCAAAGAAGGAAACTCATTATTTATAAAAGGAGCAGTAATCAAATGTTGTTACGTGTACTTTATGTCATTCTTTTATTGGCCAATGAAAATGAATTTGAACTCATGAGTCATAAGTGGGGTTTGTTGGATGATCTCTTGACGTAAAGACTATCTATAAAATTAAATAATTAAATATCCACCGAGAAATAAATGTAATAATTTAATTATGAATTAATGGACAAACGGTCCTTCTCCGTATATAACGACTGCTTAACCCATTAATTAATTAAGAAGAAAAAAAAGACATGCAACTTCTTGGTTAGAGCGTGAAACATCTTTCGGTTCATTATTTATGGACTCGCTTCTATTAAAAAAAAAAGATTATTGTTTGAAGGGGAATAATTTGATTGTACCCATCATGAATCAGATAAGTTAGAATTGGTATTTCTGATGATTATAATTATAACTTTATAGGAGAAACGTTTTTGTCAAACTAAAAGTAATTATGGGTGTGTTTGGTAGGAAGAAAAATGAGTGGTTTTCCGATTTTATCACTTTTTTTTTTGTTTGGTTGGTGAAAGAGAAAAAAAAATTCCAAAAAATATATTCTAGTGTTTGGTTGAATAGTATAAAATAATTTTAGGAAAATAATTTATATGTTACTCTCCTCAATCCACATTCCCCAAAATCCTTATGTTTCATGTACTCCTTCTCCCTCCCCCCTCCCCCCTTCCCCTCCCCCGTTCGGCACTCTATTTTCTTCAAGAATTTAATTGTTCTTTTCAAAATTCACGAAAACCCAAAGGAACTATGCTACTTTACTTTTTCACACAAGAATAAGCTTGAAATTTGAGCTAGATAACTAAAAAGAAAATTCTTATTTTGTTGAAAAAGAAATTATCTTTTCTACAACATGAAAAGAATATGCTCATTTTATTGAAATAAAAAAAAGTACTCTATTTACAATATTAAAAGAAAAGTACTCTTAATAATATTTTTATTTAGGGTGTATGGTAGGCAAGATTAGGGTGTGGGAGGGAGGACGGATAGGGAGGGATGAGGTAGGGGTGGTTTGAGGGTAGCATGGATGATGTGAGTGGGGTTTGGTGGAGATGGGGAATATGGCGAAGAAGGTTGAAAAAGAGTTTTGGAAAATGTTTATTTTGATAGGGAAGCTTTTTTCCTCCAATTGAAGGAAAATGAGTTCACGAGCAAAATATTTTTCAAAATATTTAAGTCAATTAAAAATAAAAAATTAGAAAATATTTTCCAGAAATATTTCTTTCGTACAAATCACACCCTATATCTTCTTCCTTCTCCTTATCTATGATTTGCGGACTCCATCCTACGCCAACTCAAAAACAATAACTAGAAAACATATCTGCTTATCGTATGCCACACAATTGGACGAATGTTCCAGAACTAGGTGCAAAAAGACAATAACTTATTAAGGTATATTTGGTTAAAAAGAAACTAGATTGCATGACTGGATTGGAATTAACACTTGATACGGATAAATTTTTATCATCCCCTAGAATGAAAATAAGTAAAACAGTATAGATATAAGGAGTGTTTTGCTCGCTTGGTTTTTTTGTACAAATACATTTAAGATGGGGGTGGGGTGGGGGTGGGGGTGGGGCAGGGATAATAGAAGTGTAAAATGTGTTATCTCTCTAAACGGTAGTAAAAGAATAAACTGTACCAAACATAGGTGTCAATGGTTCGGTTCGGCCGGTTATTTTATATAATTTGTAGCATATTAATTTTTCGGTTATTCTATTATATATAACCAAAATTAGACTTTTCGAAACCATTCCAATCACGTCGGTTTCTCTTTAATATCGGTTCGGTTCGGTTAATTTTCGGTATTTTTTAAATGTCATGTAAAATTCATCAATAGAAGTAGAATGCAATAACATACATTATTTTACGGTCATAGAAAACTCTCTAGATATTTTTACTGTTTAAAGGGTGATGAATTAAAAAAAAATGAAAGATGGCTAGAGTATAGATCAGTATTGTCAAAGGCACGCTTAAGCCCTGAATCGAGGCTCAAAACATGTTGAGCGCTTTGCCTCGCTTTGTGGGCGCTTTAGTATCGCATCAAGGCTTTAAGTCATACTATTCCTTTCCAATGAATGTAATCATGAAAAGGCGACATTAAACAATTGATATTTTACTTTATAGTAATTTTTTTCCAATTTCTTTGTCCATAAATCTGTTATTCATGCCTATAATTATTAATCTTGGACTACATATACATATTTTACTTTTTCTCCAATTGCGCCTTTTTTCATTAAAGCCCATGCTTTATTTATAAAAATTACACGGGGCGCCCTATTTGGTCGCACCCATTTCACCTATACCCATGTTTTTTAAAGTTTTAACTTGTACCCACTTTTTAAACAACTTCAGCCCCCTTTCTCCTCCTCCTTCTCCTCCTCAAACTTTCCCACTATTCTCTGAAATCTTTATAAATTTCATAACAAATTTTGCCACTTAAAAGAAAGGAGAAGTTTGGGGTATACTTAATTTTTATGTTTACCACATCAAGCTAACTGTATCTGCCTTCTAGTCCCATACCACAGTCGAACTTTGGCGTGCTTGTTGACTAAACAGTTTTACAAGTCGTTTTTAGTTAATGAATATAGAGAACAACGTTGTCTACACTTCTGTCTCTTTGTTCCCGTTGTTTATCTAAAGTCAGCATGCTTACTGAAGTAGCATTTAGGACCAACGTTTCAAGCTATCATGTCGCTGAACCAGTCCAATGTGAAATCCTTGAAGTAGATTTCTTGGAAATTTGACAAAATACCAAATTTTGGAAACCTTTTAATTCAGCTCTAGAGCTATCGCCAGTTACAAAAACAAAAACTTCAGCTCTAGATCTGAAGTTCGCCAGTTACAAAACAAAACTTCAGCTCTAGAGCTGAAGTTCGTCAGTTACAAAAACAACACTTGCTACTTCAGTCCCGTCTACTAGAATGTTAAAGTTTTGCGTGATTGCCTTTGCTACTTCAGCCCCGTATGCTGAAGTTATGCGAAAAAGTGGGTATGCTTGCAATTTTTTTTGCAAAGCGGGTACAAGTTAAAACATGACCCGAAAAGCGGGTATAGATGCAAATGCCCCGCTTTATTTGCGCTTTGCGCTTTTAGCCCCAACGGACCTTAGAGCTTTTTTGCGCTTTTCGCCTTTGATAATATTGGTATACATCCATCAACTATTCTACAACAACGTAAAAGAAACCAAGCAAAAGAAAAGAAAATATAAATCACACGAGTGAAAGGAAACATATTCAATGCATTGTAGTTTGCTACTCATAATCACTAGACTACTTTGTGTCTTGCTAATAAAGATACTTGAAATAATTTAGTTTAAGTAGAAGTAGCATAATAGGATTTAGGAATTAGTATTTTGAGCTTAATTACTTGTTGGCTTGTAATAGTTTTCATAATTCCAAGGCCCAAAGAAAAATTGAATGCATTATTATTTTTAAACTTACTAGATAAATATATTTACCACATGTAAATTTATTCGGTACGGTTCGATTTTTTTTCGGTTTATTTTTATTAAAAAAAACCTACCCTAATTGTCGGTGCGGTTATAGATTTATATAAAAACCTACGATTTCTTAAAAAGAAACCTAAAAATCAGTTTGGCACGGTACGGTTCGACCGATTTAGTCGATTTTTAAATATCCATTGACACCCCTAACCAAACAAGTGGAATAAATGAATAAATAACTCCATTCATGTTAACAAATCTAGAAGTCTTCCTCTCTTGAATGTGCCGTGTTACAATATTGTTTATTAATCTTATTTTATATGGGTAGAATGTATATGTTCAATGAATTGGAAGGTATTCTTTTACTTTCTTTCCTAAATGGACATGCTATAATAAAATGAACTTTCTTTCGCTTACTTTAGGTTAATTAATTTGTGTGTATGATAAATTAGATAAATGCGACTTTTTTAGGTAAAAACTATTTGTTCAATTACTTTAGGAATAATAGTTTAAAAGATTGAAAACTATCAAAACTCCCAAATTAAATGAAAGAGGTGAACAACTTAAAATTACCACATTAAAACTTTAAAATTGACCTCTATTTTACCTTGTATAGACACTATGTGTTTCGTAAAGGTTTTATTTTTTATTTTTTTTGTCTCTTGGAAAGGAAAATATATACTAATATTTTATCTCTTTCTTACAAAGTGCATCCTCGACGTTTCAGTTTATCCTAGTAGGTATAAATATACATACTGTTTACCTTGAAAATGGTAATTACAATTAGATCTGATTTTGTGGTTCCAAAAATACGTGATTTACTTTTATGCTAGTTGTTAGGCAGTAGATGCTAAGCGTGAGATTAGAAAAACAGATAAGAGCTTGAAGGCAGCGTGTCAAGCAAACCGAGTGGCTGAGAATCGGGGCCTCGAGCTGGCTTATACGGGGCCTCGAGGTCGAGCTAAGCGTTAGGCTATGTCCGGTTGATGAAGGACTACCAATTTTGAGAGCTTTGATGAAGGCTCTTTATGATCAATGATACGTAATAAATGAAGAACAATCAATGGAATACAATAAATGTAAGCAAGACAATAAATGTAAGTAACAAATCAAGGGAGAATATCTTTACGTTAGAGAGCAGAGAATGTTCTTGTTCTTGTATAGAATATTGTGTGTCGTTCCTTCAAGAAATAACCAGGCTCCCCTTTATATAGGAGGGGAATCCCAATATAGTACATCTGCACTTATTACAAAGAAAAGCAGCTGGTACAGCTACTTAGCAGTGTGGTACAGACTGGTACTATTCTTGCAGGTGTTGTTAGCTTTGACCACGTGCCTAGGGAACTTCCCGCCTATCCATGATAACCATCGATTTGTGATGTCCCGAGGTCGGACATAAAGAACCCTCGAGGTTGAACCTCGAACTGTGGCCCGGGCCTTCATGGTGAAGCTACGGAAAGACACAATGATCGTAAAATCGGGCTCTCCGATTTTATCTGTATATAGATAGTCCCCGCGTTTCTTAGAGTAAAACGATGAGAAACGATCTCG